ATTCACCCTGAGTCAATATCTGTTGCCAATCTTCCTCTCTTTGCATGAGGAAGATTTGGCCTGAGCTAACATCTGTCCCACTCTTTCTCTATTTTGTATGTGGGTCACCACCACAGCGTGGCCGCCAACTCGTGGTGTAGGTCTGTGCCTGGGAACTGAACCTGGGCCGCTGAAGTGGAGTGTGCCGAACTTAACTACTAGGCCATGGGGCCAGCCCTTTGATTTCTTCTTTGACTCATCAGGTTATTTAGAAAGTATTATTCTTGTCCAAATTTTTATGGATTTTCCAGAGATAATTCTGTAACTGATTTCTAAGTTAATTCCAGTGTAGTCAGAGAACATGCTTTGTGTGATTTGAATGTTTTTAAATTTATTGAGAATTTTTTATGTCCCACAATACTGTCTGTCATGTTTCATGTTTCATGCACACTTGAAAAGAATGTGTGTTCTGCTGTTGTGTGGCGTGTTTTATAAGTGTAAATTAGGTCAAATTGGGTCATAGTCTTGTCTTTATCTTTTATAACTTGCTGATTTTCTCTCTACTTGTTCTTTCAGTTATTGAAAGAGGACTATTGAAATCTCCCCTACAAAGTTGTACATTTTTCTATTTTGTATTGCAGTTTTCTTGGTTTTGACTCATGTATTTTTTTCTTTTGGAAGATTAACCTTGAGCTAACATCTGCTGCCAATCCTCCTCTTTTTGCTGAGGAAGACTGGCCCTGAGCTAACATCCGTGCCCGTCTTCCTCTACTTTATATGTGGGATGCTTACCACAGCATGGCTTGCCAAGCAGTGCCGTGTCCACACCCAGGATCTGAACCGGCAAACCCTGGGCCACTGAAGCAGAACATACACACTTAACTGCTGTGCCACCAGGCCAGCCCCTGCTTCATGTATTTTAAAGCTCTAAAATCGAATGCATAAATGTTTAGGAATTGACTTCTTTTTATATCAGGAAATGACCTTCTTTAACCCTGGTAATATTCTTTGATTTGAAACCTACTTTGACGTTCATATAACTATTCCAGCTTTCTTTTGGTTAAATTGGCATAGTATCTTTTTCATCCTTTACTGTTAACCTGTTTGTATCTCTGTATTTGAAGGTAGTTTCTTGTAGGCAGTTACCTAGTTGAGTTTTGCTTTTTGAATCTAGTCTGATAATCTCTGCCTGTCGTTATATTATTTAGACCATTTTCATTTAAGGTGATTATTCACATGGTGAAGCTTAAATCTAGCACCTTCATATTTGTTTTCTATTGTACCCTTATACCTATGTTTTATGCCTTCTTTTGGACTAATCATTTTTATTATTCTCTTTTATTTCTCTGTTTATTAGCTGTAATTTGCTATTTTGTTATTTTAGTGGTTAAGTTAAGGGCTTAAAGTATACATTTTAAGTGTTAGAGCCTACCTTCAAAGGGTAGTATACCATATCAGGTATAGTACAAGAAGCTCACAATTGTATACTTACTTTTCTTCTCTTCTGGTTTTTGTGCTTTTTTTGCCATGCACTTTGCTTTCACCTGTGTTATGAACTTCACTTATATTATTTTTATTTAAGCAATCAGTTGCTTACCTATGTAGGTACCATTTCTTGTGCTCTTCATTCCCTTGTGTGGATCCATATTTCCATCTTGGATTATTTCTTCTGCCTGAGAAATATCCTTTCACATTAGTTGTAGTACGGATCTGATGGTGATGAATTCTTGCTGCTTTTGTACGTCTGAAAAAATTTTCATCTCATTTTTGTTTTTTAAAAATATTTTCAAGGTGCATAAAATTCTAAGTTCGCAGTTACTTTCTCTCAGTACTTCAAAGATATTGCTCCACTGTCTTTTTGCTTACATTATTTCTGGTGCTAAATCTGCTATTATTCTTATGTCGTTCCTCTGTAAGTGACATTTCTTTTTTCTTTGGCCACTTTTCAGAATTTCTCTTTAACACTGGATTTGAAAAATTTAGTTATAATGGGTCCAGGTGTGCTCCATGTGTCTCCCATCCTCCTTGGCCAGTGGCCACCCAAAGCTTGTACATTTCTTGGTGAATGGCAGGGATACAAAAAAAGCAAGTCAGCCATACATGCACCTTTGTAGTCTTGTTTACGTATATTCACTAACATCCTCTGGCCAAAGCATGACACCTGGTCGATCTCAAGCCAAGGGATAAGGAAGTAAACTCCATCTATCATGAGGCCATGGCAAGGCTAGGCATAAGGATTATGCTTAAATTGTACACCTCTACTGGAAGAAATCTGGTCCCTTAATTGTAAACATAGAACTCCCTAGCAGAAGACTCTTCATGAAGTATAACACAGAAGATTATTATAATGGGTACTAATTTCCCATTGAATATATCTCCCCACTGTGGTTTCCACATCTCCTTCCTTAGGAGCACATTCCAGGTCCCATTTCCCAGACTTCTGATGGCAAAACAGTACTTAAGATCAAGCATGTTGGGACCACATCAGACCTACTCTAATGCTGATGTAGGTGTAAGGAATGAGAAAAGTTTCCTTTTGTTATGTTAAGGGAAATTACATGTGACTGTGTTTCAACATGTAATGACAGAGTTGTGAGTACTTCTCTGCCCTTTATGAAGAGATACTACATAAACAGGCAACCCTTTTTTGGTCTTTTTGTAGCTCTGTCAAATCACGCTTTGATGTAGTGCCTTGAGGGATAACACTCAAGGTTAAGGGAGCAAAACCACATAGAAATTGAGCCTGAAGAAGCCAGCTGCACATTTTGAAGTCAGCCAAACTGGTATTATGGATATTTCATGACAGTAATTTTACACACCTATACATCATTACTAATAGTAACTAATAACAACATAGCTTTCATTTCCATTTTGAGTATTTCTCTTATATTGTGTATAGTGCATTTATTGTCTTTATTATTCATGATGATCTTACTAGGTATTATCACTTTCATTTTCTGCATGAAGAAATAGAGGCTCAAAGAAGCTGAATTAATTAATTGCTCGACAGAGACAGCAAGCAAGTGGCAAAATTGGGGTACAGACCTAGATTTATCTCAATAAAGGTCTCAGCATAGCTCATTACAATCTAACGCCTATGTTCATCCTTCATCTCTAAATTCCCATTTGAGATTCCCGAAGAGGATCTGTTAGGCTCATAAGGGACTAATGGGGATATTTGTGTGGGCTAAATTTTCATGGAGAACTTGCAAAATGTCAAGAATTCCTCTGCAGATCCTTGGGGTCCCAAACTGTTTGGGAAATGTGGGACCGGGTCTCATCAGAAGCCTGGAGTAGCCCTGGAGTCAAATGTATCTGGCTGTGCACGGTCCTGTGTCAACGGCATTGCAGCTGAGGAACCCGGGATAATATAACCTCGTTTAGCCCATTCTCCTCATCCTAAAATGGGGAAATGATGCCATCTGCCCCATGATTTTTTTTAAGGATTAGACAATGCAGGTAAAATGCAGTTTGGGGAATGTAGAAAAGCAATTCTTTAAAGGCGATAATGGTGTTGTCGTCATTAGACTGCAGCAAAGTGCGTTAACATGAATTAATGTTCATGTGTATAAAGTTCTTAGAACAGTGCCAAGCACTTTCTAAGTGTAATATAAGTGTTTGCATAATTTGAAAAATATAATTTGTGCCAACATAAAAGTTGGTGAAAAACAAAACTTACAGAGATTTTGAATAGGGGCCAAGGGAATCAGTTGACAGTTTTGTGATGGTAACTTTTAAAGAAAGAGGGATCTCAGAAGAGCATTATCCTTGTCAAATTTTCAAAAGTATATGGGAGTAATCATGCTGCTAAATAGGTAACTCAAGACTAATTGCATGATTTACGATATATGATGTCTAAGCATTTCCTTCTACACTGAGTGCAGATGTACTAAGAAAAGTGTTATCTTATGCTCCCAAGCTTTTCATACGTTTCTAAGTTTTGAAATTTTTATGTGTATGACCAATATTAATTAAAATAACTCCTGTTCTTTAAAATCTTTCTTTAAACATCTGTATTCTTATGTAATACTTTATCTATTGTTGTGATCTTTCAATTTTTAGACAATGAGTGGACATATCAAATACCAAATACATGTAACTTGAATTGTGTGGGACCCCGATTCTCTTCACTGCGGTGTAGTTTGTGGGGACTTTCTTTCAACTGTGCCCCTTACTGTGTAACGTGAGCCTGGGTTAGGCCAACTTCAAGCCCATATTATTTTCCTGTATACCATGATACTGCAATAAATGAACAAATGTTAATGTTTAGTATTAGAATCTTTTTGCTATTATAATAGCAACACTTTCATTCTCTGTCTTATTTGATTTACCTTCTCCAAGAATGTTATTAGAGTGGGAGCTCATTTTGCAGGAAAGATTAGGGGACATGATTCTCTCTGTCTCCTTCTCTCCCTCCCTTTCACTCTCCTTCCTTCATACATACAGTGGAGACAAACAATATTATGGATGAAGAGTGGATCATATGATAACTAAGTCAAGGGATAGGGTACCTCTGAGGGGATGAGGCAGGTGGGATGTGGTCAACAGTAGACAGTGATCTCTTCCTTTTTAAATTTTAGCTTTACGGAGTAATGTCACCACTGTGGTTACTGTGATGGGTCCAAGCCTTGGTCCATTTTGCCTATGTGGTCATCTGTATTCTTGATCTGAGATTTATGAACTAGCAGAGAAGGAGATAGCTTGGATCTTGGTGGCTTTGGGATACATCTCTCAGACATTGTCTTTGTTGGCTGGACTTGGAGCCGGACAGTGGACAGGAACTGGATTCTGGGCCATGTTCCCAGGTGTCTTAGGTTATATTTGACCAGAGCTGGTTATTTCCCCTCTCGTCACATTTACCTAGTGACTCTAGGAGAATATGGATAAGCCACCTAAATGGTAAACCATCAAAGCATGCTTTCAAGATATGAGATGATATTAAAGGATTATACATGGGGTATTATCATGAAGTCTTATCAGAATCAATCTATTGCATGTTTTGTTTTGTTTTATTTTGACAGAATGAAGTTCCCGAGGTGAAGAAAGAGGAGACTTTGTTGGATCTGGACTTTGACCCTTTCAAGCCTGAAGTAGTGTCTGCGGGTTCTGCCGGAGTGACCCACTCACCCATGTCTCAGGTATCAAGTGGGGTTTTTTTTTGATGTTTGAGGATGATACTTCATTGACTTTAATAAGCTCAGTAAGCTAACAGGTACATTTCCATGACCCCTCTCCCTTTCAAATGACTATTTACTTTTGTTTCTTTTTGGTTGAAAAGTATTTCCTAATGGTAAGGAAGGGTAGAAAGAGGACCTCACCAATAGCAATTATTCCAAACCTCCTCATACTATTAACATTCCCTGTCTGTAGAGCTGGATAACCAGACATTCCAGTTTGCCCAAGAATTGTCTATCTCAGAGTAATTAATAATAGTGTTCCCTTTTGCCCTCAGAACTGTCCAGGTTTGGACGATACATTTTATGGCTTCCTTAAGTAAACCTTTTTCTTTTGACTTTGGGTTTAATCTTCTCACTGTTTTCTCTACTTTCCTTCCTCATACTTTGCAAATTAAGGCATAATAGAAATAACCATGAGATTATGCCCCACAGAAATGTTTTTTAGTATTGATAGTTCTGAACTTGATGATGTTGTCCTCATTCTCCATATTCCAGAAGCTTCCCTTATGTGATCTTGATTATGGCTTGATGCAGAGTTGGCCTTGCATATCCCAGCCTACCTTTTCTCTTTACTCATCACTTCCTCACTCTCGACAATTTTCTCATTTTGATAGGTATTGCAGTAGCATTCGCTGTCAGAGGAATACTGGTGGTGGGTGCTGTAATGACTTGTGGGTGATTCCTGGAATATAGTTAGCTTACAATTATCTATGCTCATGGTAGGAAGTTAACTCAAAAGTTTGGCTAAACAGTAAGTGTTTATATCAGTATTTTGGATGTGGTTGAGGCCTCACCTTTGAATTTAGGCAAATCCCAAGATTCTAGAATATATTTCAAATTAATTAACGAAGTTGTATTATAAAACTCAGGTTAAGACTTGAGACCCAGCTCAATTTTCTGGTCTTGAAGCCTTCTTGATGGCTTATAGTAAACCACTGGGGAACTGGCAGCTCATTTTGAAACTCAATAAATAAAACTTCTCTTTAATCCATGCTTTGTCCCAGAATGTGATTTGGTTTCTAAAAGACCTCCCTGTTGTAATGTAGCAACAATAAGAATCTGAGATGTCAATAAAGCAGGAAATTAAGTAGATCAGACACTAGCCTGAAAGGTAGTGCAAAAATTGGTCTCTTAGATGAATGTTTGAGAAAGTTCTGTTAACTCCTTTTTAAGAGATTCATGTCATGTATTCGAATATTAAAGGCTCCAAGAAGTCCTGCAATCAAAAGAAAAAACTGTTTAGATTTGTTTAACTTAGAGTTTCCCAAATTTGTTTGACCACAGAAATCTGTTTTAGTGACACTTTTTTTAACATTCCTTGGAATGTTCTCTAAAACATACTTTGGGAAATGCTAATGTACTAATTGTTGGTAAGTTTGAGGGTTCTGTCTTTGTGGCCAAGAAAAGTAGGAAATGAACATACGTATCATTCAGAATGCTTCCCTCTCAGAGCTTTCTCGTTGTGTGCACAGCCAGCAGAATTCAGGGGACTTCCTCTGCCCGACTCTCCAATGCTCATTACTTTACGGGCAGAAGGAAAGTTTGCACAGTGGGTGCTGTGATGATCAGTGGGTGAGAATCCACAGCATTTCTGTCTGCAAGTTTGAATCAAGAGGGAAACTTCTTTTATATCAATTCATGATCAAATTAATCCATAAATCTTGAAAGTTTGTGTGGATTTAGGAATAAGAGATTCTTTCAGAATTAAAAAAAAAATGACCTTGGTTAAATCTTGGAAAGTCTTAGTTCTGAAGAAAACACGTTACTGCAGTTAGGGAAAGCTGTGTGTGCCCCCGTTTGCTTCCCTCCCCCAGGTAATAAACTCCTCTGGCTTCCCAGTGGCTGTTGATTGAGTCACCTCACTGCAGAGTCGTCTTCCGATCCAGCTCTAATCACATCTCTCCCCTTTTGCTAAGAGGTCGTCTTAGGCTGAGATAACACAAAGCGTAGAGTGGTTAGATTCTGCTGGCCTTCTTTCCCCTTCACTCACAATAATCTCCCCTACCCATCGCCTGACCCCATGTTTTGAATTGATGTTCTCGCTGCTCGCAGACTACCTCACCTCGTGATCTCTGCAGCGTCTACGCGAGCTTACACATCCTTTTCATGATCCTGAGGATGGATAAACATGATGTTTCACGTTGCTGCTTTCCCTTAGAGAAAATGCTTGTGCTGTCTGCATTGTGCAGGGATGTGTAGTAGCTTCTTAGGAGCTATGATTCTTGAGGGGCTGTGAAGCAAGGAAACATAAACCTTCTTGATAATCAGAAAATGCATCTCAGATGCAGAAGGAGTCCATGTGCAAAAACCTGTGGCTTTCAATGGAGCTGCTCTACTCTTTTTTCTTAGTCATTCTACAAATAGATGCAAACCCGGAGAGCAATCAGATTGCACAGAGATGCGGGGTGGGGGGGGCAGTGTAGTTAGAGTAGGCCCAGACAAGTGGGTGGGTTCAGTCAGAACCACAGGTCCACATTCTATAGTACGGATTCCAAATGGGAGGCATCTATAATTCCATCTGGAAACCGTCATATCCTTAAGATGGGAGTGCCAGGCTCTCTAATATGCTGTTCACATTTAGTAAACATGGATCCATTCTAGTCACAAAGATATGGGTAGAAAAGGATGTGGCTTTAGCGGTAATTCTCAATCACAAAGAAAATAAGAAAGAGAGGTCTCCCCCACTTTCTCACACACAGTGGAAATCATCTGAACCATCTGAATTCATTTCTTAGGATCAATAAGCTTTATAATTAAAATGCCAGTAATAAGTGTAATTCATCCATATGTCTTAGGGGGCACCCTGCTAATTTGCATGATTACCAATTAATTGAGCTGTGTATTATCATCTAATTCAATGTACTGAAGAATAAGTTGTGTGAGATTCATTTCCCATCAAATGGTCATAAGGCATCCTCTTGAATTTGGTGGATGGAGGGGAGGAAATACCATTAGCAATGATTAGGATCTTCATTTCCTCAAAGATGTGATAAACTCTGATATCTGGACATCTTGGTTTACTTCATTTTAATTTTTTTGCATGTATTAAAGTAAGCCCATTCATCATGTTTTGGATATAATTTTCCACTCTTATAGAGAAAGGCAGATTGACTAGACCTGTGCTATCTGATATGGTAGCCTCTAGCCACATGTGGCTATTTAGATTTAAATTAAATAAAACTAAAAATTTGGTTCTATTACACTAGCGCATTTCAAGTGCTCAACAGCCACATGTTGCTAGTGGCTACCATACTGGACAGCACAGATATAGAACATTTTCATCACCCAAGAAAGTTCTATGGAACAGTGCTACGCTAAATGTTTCAAAAATGTTTATGATTTTATTTCAAGAGCTTTTATCACCTCAGCATTTTTTACATGCTTGGGATTTGTACACTAACCATATTTTTGTTGGTCTCTTTGCTTTCAGACGTTGCCTTGGGACCTTTGGACGGTAAGAGTACTAAGAACTTGTATTTTGATGTATCTGGATCCCTAGAAATTTAGAAAACTTATTATGTTTTATTTCGCCTGTGATGGAAAGAAGACCCATGAATTTTTAATGATAATGTAGTGCCCTAGGACAATCGTCAGTCACCTGATGGTTCCAAGCATTTCTAGCACCTGGAAACAGTGGTGGAAAAGAATGTCGTGTGCCAGAGCCCTGGGTGGGCAAGAATTTGATGTTATTCTCCCTTATGCTTCTCCCTGCAATTATTGGTGGCTAGAGGAGATGTTGTAGTGAGGGACATGTACCTTTGTTGCTGCTTTTAAGTAGAATATAAGACAAGTATGGATGAGAAAATGTGTGGGTTGGGCTACCCTGCACGGGGAACCAGTTTTTCATTATCATCTTCAATGAAGCTTAGTCAATAAGAATTTGAGCTTCAGAGCCAGACAGTCCTGGGTTTGAATCCAGACTCGACTTATTGTAGCCTTGTGACTTTGAGTGATTTCTAAAACTCTCTAAGCCTCAGTTTTTCTCATCTGTAAAATAAGGGTAGTGACACCAACCTCAGAGGGTTGTGTGAAGATTAAGTGATAACATTTGTAGAATATTTAGCCCAGGGCCTGGTATGTATCAATAAAAGGTAGATATTACTCCTGATGTTATTTATTCAGCTAATCTGATGTGCATTGATGAGTACTTCCAGAATTTAGAGTCAGGAAACAGACACAAACAGAGCTGTGTGGTGGCAGCATCTGTGCTGTGACATTTAAGAGGTTGGCCACACCCATTAAGAATCTCACATCCCGCGGAGTAGGGCCTTTGTCTGCCCTGTCTTAGAAGAGCCCTGGTCACGTGGTCTTAAGAACTCATGTTTTCTTCTTTTTCAGTGAGACACAACAGGAAAGTTTGGTAGATCTGGCTATTCACAAGCTGGTCTTCTGAAGGGACATTGCTTTCTTCTCTTAAAACAGAAAGATGGTTGTCCCCTTTCCTGTCGCAGGAGCAGGTTTACACCACACTTAGGATCCTTGGAGCATCACAGAGAGCTCTCACGAGAAGAGCTAAAGGATGTTGATTGAAAATATTTTTTATAGTGAGCTGGTTTTACTTGTATGTTCACAAAAAGAGATGCATGGATTGACGTTCAGGACATTTGAATTCTAGTCTCAACTTTGAGATAATTTTCTTGGAGATTAAGAGGACAATGTTAGTTTTTTGTTATTGCAATATTTCATATGTTTAGTTGGAGCTCTACCACATGTTTCCTTCCCTAGCTGGAAAGGGTATGATGAGGGTGAGGGAATCATCTAGAAGGAGCGTTTATTATTTCAAATGACAAACCTGTGAGGAATGGCAACAGTGACAGGATTGCAAAACAGTAGCTCCCTAGACATAATTGGTCACATTTCTTAGTCTTGTCAGCTCCTTGTGTGGTTTCTCTGTGTGCAGGCAGGGCTACTGGACTTGGGGGAGAATGTGAGGCGAATCCTCCAGAACGTTAGAGTGGTTAGTATCAGACCATCCTCCATCCAAACACCACCTCAAAGGCAGAACCAAGTGCAGGAGAAATTTGGGGAAGAGTTTTTTCTGGAACTGTGTCAGAGAGATGAGACTGTAATTCTGTGGCCGCTAGTGCTTGATCTTATTTTGGTGTTCTCAGGCTTATTTATTTATTTGAAACTTTGCATTTCAGGGTCTGCTAAAGCAGAAGTCATGAAATAGCCATAAAACATCCTTCTTGATACTAGCAAATGACAGAGGCTTTCTTCATGTTTCAATTGTGTAGTCTTCAACAGTATTGGAACAAAACTCATTCCTGTCACAAAACGATTTGTAATATTTAACCTCAAACCAGTAAAGTCACAGCCTTTACCAGTATGTTGACTCTAGACAGCATGGAATTTTAATGTGCTAGTGAATTTTTTTCTCTTGCCTTATGATTACTATTATTATTTATTATTAATTTTTGTTTTTACTCATACAGACTAGCACTGATTTGGTACAGCCGGTAGGTAAATATCCAGAAAATTCTGGATTTTTTGTATTTAATATGCATTATATACATGGTATATTATCTAAAATGAGCTTTTCTTCTCATGGCATTGCTAGTCTCAAATTTAACCTTAAGCCATTTAATTTAAATACTCTCTAGTTTTAACTGGCGGTGCCCCACTGAAGAGCTGTGTGTTTCTCATCAAGTCTTACCGTGATCTGTTTCATCTTATGTTTCTTTTTTTCCTTTGCTCTTCTGCATACTCTAAAGACTGACTCTTCAAAAAGTCTTTCCCTGTGTAACCTGATCATGGAGGAAACTCCAGACAGTGGGTTGACTGAAGAAATTCAAAGATCTCAAATTGATCTAGGAGCATTTATTTGGGGCCCTGATGCTAGTACAGACAGTGTCAGCCAGGAAATTACCCAAGGTGGGTCTCAGGAAGACTCTGCGTGTCTCTCTGAAGCAGAGCAAGGCACGGGATTGTTCACCGGATTGCTTCCTTCTGCTGACTGGCGCACCGAACAGGGTGATCATGTCTTGGGGCCAGCCCCTCCATGTGAAAATGAACAGTTGTCCCCAAAGCCCAGGCCTGAGGCTGAATTTGCTGTTGCTGCTTGTATGGAGATGGAGCAGCCGTATGACTTGCCTGAGTCACAGATGCCAGCCATGGAAACTGGTGGCCTGGTCACAGAAAGTCAAGAGGATGTTAAAAGGTCAGAAGACGAAGAAGAAGAGAAACAGAAGACAGAAGATTCTCTGTGGGCAGGTGTGGAGACATGTGAAAAGGTAGACACTGGAGCTGTTGATATCAAGGCACTAGAAGGAATAGAGGAATTTGGAGAGAAAGCTTGTGAAAGTACAGGAAACAGGGTAGTACATCTTCTTAAGATGGCAGGGAAGAGCAACCAGGAGACCTCAGAAATCAATGAAGAGGAAAGTAGGAAAGATCTAAGAGCTAGGTGTAAGGAAAATAGCAATGGAAAGTATTTTGAGAAAGCTGACATATTAGAAAAAGTCATGGAAGGAGTAGATATGGCAGAGGAATTTAGTGACAGAGACCAAGGGCTAGATGAGGGGATTCAAGTAGTAATAAATAATTGTGAAATTACAGAGGGCTCTGGAGCTGAAACTGCCAATCACACAGGTCTTTTGAATCTGCCTTTCCAGACTGACTCTGTATCTAACATTGAAGATGTCAGCCCTGAGGAATGGGTTTTTGCTAGAAAAGACATAAAGAAAAATTTGCTAGAGCCTCCTAACCATGATCTAATATATCACTCAGCCTCAGCACAGGGCGGTGCAGATGCTGAAGAGATTCAGTGTGAGCCTGTGTTATGTGATTCTGGAGGTGACAGGGATGAAAATCAGGCTGTTGTTTTATCAGTAACACATGAAGTGGCAGCCCAGTCTAGGACAGATCTTAATTGTTTTCTGGGAACTGATGCAAACAGAAGAGATTGGTGTTTATGTAAGGTAGAAGATTCATTAATAGAAGGCTCTGAAAGTACAGTGACTGGGAACTGTAGTCATACCATTAACTTGCCAAGAATTGCAAAAACAGACTTTAGGGGAACAGATCCAGGTCAAGTCTGGCAGCCAAACTTGGAATTAGCAGTGAATAACATGGATCTATTGGAATTCTCTGGTAAACCAGATGGCCAAGCAAGTGGATTTGCCAGTTGGCTTGAGTCTACTAACCACTGGCCTATCAGAGATACGGGAGGCTTAGATAATTGCTGGGAACATTTAGATATAGTTGAGAGCAAGAAAGGGCTGGAGGTGGACTTAGTAGCAGATGTATGTGGGGAACGAGCCATTGCTAGCTGCTGGGAACAAAGCCGAGAGACAGCTAGACCGCTGGTCCTGGGAACCTCCCAGAATGCTAGCACCGAGAGTTCCGCTAGTCCCCAAGACCATGACATCAACAACTCAGATTTATCTGAAGATGAAATTGCTAACCAGAGATATGGATTGTTATACCAAGAAATAGAGGCTGATAAAGAAGAGGTACTTACCCCGATATGTAGTATAGACTAGTCCAAGACTTCTGTAGGTTCTGTTTTTCCTAATGTTTCCCACCTGCCTCCTTATTCATAACTGTCTTCTCTCAGGCCTACCTCATCTCCTTGACAGCTTGTCTTGTACCTCTTGAAATCTGTTCAAACCAAACACAAATAGGTTGACAAAAAAACTCCGCAAAAAGCAGACTGATTGTGTTGGGAACTAACAGAGTCTTATTTTACCATCCCGTTTACTGTGTTTATTGTTTCTACTCTCATCTTGCTATTCAAACACTAAAAAAGATGTAGAGCAGAACTAATTTACTGTTGCTAAAGTGATTCCATTCCAATACGAACACGTAAAATGTCTCTACCCAGGCCCACTGGATCCATAGAATCTCATAATAGCTGTTCATCAAAATGATATATTAGAGAAATACTGGAAATACTTCTAGATTCTATCAATAGACTGAAAAAAGAGTCACTTAACCCTTCGTGACTCTTCTCTAAAAGCATCTTCTCATAATTGAGAAAGTGGATTATGGTTAGCACTGAGCTGTGCACCAGCACTCATTGTAAAAATAATCTTTCTTTTTTTTTGTCAGCCTATTTAAAATAATACAGTACTGCTTTTTGCATTTCCTAAGCACTTTCATGCACAGCAGCCTTTTGTATTATTTTAAAATTTGTGGCAGTCTTTACTTTCCAACTTGTCTAATGGATATTTACCGATTATACAAAAATGATGAAAAAATAACATTCTCTGGTTTCCATTTCTGTTTAGGCTTCTGCTGGTTCATTTAATGGATTCACCCAGGTAAGAAATGGATTTTCTGGCAAAATCCATCTTTTGAGAATGATGCAAATTTTTAAAATATGGACCTCTGTGTTACTGGTGTAGCCTAATGATTAAGTGTGTCTGCACAGAGCTTTACCCCACTCCTTACGAATTCAATAATGGAAACAGTAATAGTATCACCATTGTAGGGTTGTTGTGAAGATTACATGAGATATGCATGTAGAGCACTTAGCCCAGCAGCCTAGCACATTCTAAGTGCTCCGTGGCTGTAGTTAGCTATTGATATTATTAGCCATACCATGGGATTTTTCTGAGGCCTCTACTAGAAGTTAGAAGTTGTCTTGATTTGAGAGATCCACTAGGTTCAGCTGTTGGAAAAGAAGAGAGAGGATTGTTTTGAACTAATGAGATGGGTCTTTGGAAAATACAAGAGGTTTTTAGGAGCCTCCTTCTAGAGATTCGTATGGGAGCCACGCTACACAGAACCTTCCCTCTTCAGTGGTTCTCCAGAAAGGAGCCACTGCGAGATCAGAAACGAGCTGTTTGCTCTGTCCAATAAGACAGTGTTTTCCTTGGGAGTCTGTGAAAGAGGAACCAGACGATGGACTGTCCAATTCGCTGTACATGTCCAACAGATGAACAGTTGTAGCTCATGTAGAAGGCAAGCCCATGGCTATCAAACTCATAGAATAAGTTCTGAAAACCTCTTCAAGGGAGGTTTCAACCAGAGGCTTATTTGTGATGAATGGTTTGTCTCAGAATGTTAGACATGAACAATTTCAAATTTTAACATTTAGAATTTCTCTATTTAAAAATTTGATTACTTTCCCCCATCTTACCAATAAAAAGATAAAACCCACTCACACACCCACACCCACATACAGATACACACAAACACAGAGATTGTAATGCATCTCTTCCATCTGCGTAAAACTCTTTTGAAAGGTCATGTCATAAGAATTGTTATTCATTTCTCATTCTTTTAAGTTTGTATTTTTATCAGTTATAAATGCACGTAATTGAAAGAGTAACAAAATTTTATGAGTTTTTTATTTTAAAATTTGGGACCATCACACACCCCCTCCATTTGCTGTTTCTTAGAGGTAAACACTTTCTCTACTGTAACAAATTCACTAGCTTCCCCCCCATATATGTACATGACTTTCTTATAGGCTCCTTCTTGATTCTGAAGCATTACCTATTGACTTATCTCTCTGGACCGTGAGGATTTAAAGCACTTCAGCCTCCTACCCTTCCAGTTCACATTTCTCGTCAGCTTCCTGCCCTTCCTCTGGAGTAGTTCTATCATAGCCATCTGGCCAATCTATGGTAATATTATAATGATGACGTAAATGCTCTTAGTGCTCAAGCCATGAAGTTTACATTTCCTTTTATGCCAACTTTTTGTTTTCCTTGGAGGAAATTATTGTAGGGTCTTACTTGTTTGCTTGTTGGTTGGTTTGCTTCGTTTTCTAGGTACTGATAAGTTCAGCTAGTTCAACCCCATACTCTGTGGTTACATAAATCTCTTCTTATTTTGTTGGAAATATTGAATATTAATCAGCCTCATCTTCTTGACAAACTTGCCTGTCTGTCCTTCTGGACTGCCCCAGTCTGAACTGCGGACTCCATGGCTGCCACTTGCTGCACAGCTGTCACCACAGGCTCCCCGTTACATCTGTCCTGGGGATCGCCTTCTCCTCTTTCTTCCACTCTTTTCTCGACACTGATCTTCCTTGTTTGTGGTTTAATCCCTCATTTGCGTAGAGCACGTCTTCCAGTAGCCTCCTGAGAAAAGTGTGCAGGAAAGTATGTATTTGTAACCTTCTGCATGTGAAAATACCTTTATTCCCATATACATAATGGATGGTTAGTTTGGATATTATATTAGAAGCTGAAAATCATTTTCGCTTAGAATTTTGAAACCATTGCTTCACTCCATTCTACCTCCTAGTGTTCCCACTGAGAAACTGTCATTTTTATTCATGATATGTTGTAAGAAATCCTCTCTCTCCACTCTGATCCACCTTATACACCTAATCCCACCCTCCTTTTTGTCTCTTTCTCTCTGGAAGTTTGTAGAATCTTCTTTTTACCCTACTGTTGCTGAAATTTTACAATTATGTGCTATGGTCTGAGTCTATTTTCAGACATTTTACCAGGCCCTTTAAATTTAAAAATATATATCTTTCAGTTTGGGGAAATTTTTTTTCACTGATGATTTTTCTCTATTTCCTGTGTTTTCTGACTCTGTACTACTTCTCTTTTTCACATCTTGGCTTCTTGAGCTAGTCTTCTAATTGTTTTTTTTTTCTTTGCTATTTCCTTCTCTCTGTCATCTTTCTCTGCTTTCCAACACTTCCAATAGATTCTTCACTTCTCTATTTTTTAAGTTTCTAGGAGGTCTTCTTGTTTACTGAATATTTGTTTTTTAATAGTATCCTCTTCTTATGTCATGAATACAACATCTTCCATTATGTTTCCCAGGGTGTTAGTAATAGTAATCACTTTTGAAGGTTTTTTCCTCCAGTAAAGTCTTTGTTTCTTCTTCTTGCTCTCTATTTTTTTTTTACTGTTTGTGTTCTCACTTTCATATTTGAGACTCTTCTCAAATGTCTGGTGACCTTGGCTGTCTAATCATATTTAAGAATAGGACACTAAAAAGCCGAAAGGAAACTTGTACAGGTAGGTAGAGCTCACTGACCGTGGGTATTGTTGCAGGATTTTCTGGCCCATCTTTCCTGTTGGGGAGCCCATGATGTCAGATTCTTTAGGCATTTTCTTTCTTAAGCTGGTCCAATTTTCCTGGGAAGATTCTTCTGGTCTCCTGTCTGGGAGGTACAAGCCTGGCTGCCAGTGTAATGGGAGGTGAATGGAGAAGAAGTTGGGGGTCAAGTGGGTGAGGGGCCCATGTTCTTGATATTTATTATGTAAATGTTCACTTAGTCCTGCTACTTTCCTAATATGCCGGTGTGTCCCCTAGTCCAGGGACCCTCTGTTTTGGCCTCTGGAAAAAATCCCAAGTCTTGTTCAAGAGTGGAAGGGATATTGCTTAGATTTCTAATAGATGAGAGTTATCTTGTGGTGTAATTACTTTTTAATAGACTTTCACGCAGTTCCCTGCCTTTAGCACCACCTTCCTTCCTTCCGTTTCCTGTGGTCCTCGTGTTTCTAATTCTTGATCATTTGGGAGTTCTGAGTAATAAATTGGGTTGCTTTTTGGCGTTTCTTATATCACCTCAAGGTACGGAGTTTTTGGACCCATCAAGTTACTTACTGTTCATTTGTCTGCTTTTCAGTTTCAGAATCTTATTGCTGTTGTCTTTCTTCTCATTCTTTTTGCTCTTACAAATTTATGTTTTAAAAAAATTTCCTTATTGTTGTTTGGTTTGGATTCTGGAGGTAACAGAAGTAATTGCACATGTTCAGTCCACCATCTTTAGCCTAAAGTCATTGGCTCTTTATTTCTGTTGGGGAACTTCTGATATCAAATTTTTAAGCACTTTTTTTTTCCTTTAAACTGATCAGATTTTCTAGGAAAGACTCTTCTGGTCTGTCTGGAGGGTATAAGCCTGACTACCAGTGTAGTGAGAGATGAATATTCTCTTAGAGACCTCTGTTCCCTTTGACTTCCTCCAGCTTGATTGTTTAGGTCAATGAATATATTGTATACAATTTTTAAGTTATGATTCATACTTAACCCAAAAAAGTCACACTTAAGTGATATAATAAGATTGGATTTCCAATGTTTAAAAAGTTTAAATGTGTAGCTTAGAGCTACTAAATTCTAATTCAGTGTAGATGTCCAGAAGAGAAGCTGCAGAGCGAAGATGCCCCTGAAGACACTGCCCTTTATTTAATGTCTCTCACATGCCATCATATTCTGCTAGCTCAGATTTTTATTTAGAAAAACGACTGTGTTAAAAATTACATTTGCATTATTTTTGGTTTTCTGCTTTAAAATAAAAGGAGACTTTTAAAAACTTTATAATGTGTTCATTGAAGTTATAAATTTCCTTTACACAGTGTTTCATTAGAGTCCTACAAATTCTGACATGTAGTGTTTTCATTGTAGATTAAATCTATTTTGTTAAACATTTGTTTTCCCACTATACAATTGGTGGGAGCTAATTTAAAAGTTATCTTTGTTGTTGCTTTTTTATCAAATTAGCTGGATTCCTAATAATTTTTAATCTTTATTTTCTCTCCAATTTTCAGCCCCAGGACACTTCACTATTCACGATGCAGACAGACCAGAGTATGATCTGTAACTTGGTAAGTTGATTTTGGTTTGTGTTTTTGGGAAGTTGTTAGTTACTGATGAATGTTCTGAGGTTGATCATCCTAGGGTATCTAGAGCTTGGATATCCAGAATGTGGTTTCTGCAGCCCATTGTTTTCTAGAAAATAGGAAGGAAAGCTTCTGAAAAATCTCAGTGTGACTTTGAATGTGGTTGCTTATATTTATAAAGGCACAGTGATCCCAGCAAAAACCAAAGTCTCCTAATTATGGGCTTCAGTGGGACACAGTAAATCCATCAAGGACACGGATATTTCCACGTGACTGTAGTTTAAGTTACAGGACTGAAAATGAAATTGCCTCAAGAATTCATGCTTTGAAATAGGTCCTTGCTTTTTCTTGAACCTGAAGCTACCTCATTTCTCATCTCATCCCTTCATTTTGTGAGTTGTAGAAAGAACTAAGGCATAGTAGAGGTGTGATTTCTGCTTTGCTGCCAAATGAGATGAGAAATAAGCTTCGCCAGGGAGTGGCTAGGCAGCAGAGTTCCTCTTGGTGTTAAAGGAGATTCTTGCAAGATCGGCGGCGGTTATCATGGGAAAGCTTTCTAGCCGCAGCTTACTCTTAAAGGTGAATGAAGAGACCTTGAGTTATGTCATTTGTGAACTTGTTCGTGATACATCCAGAGGATTTGGCTCTTTGAAGGTTAGTGCACAAGGGTTATTTGTAGCTCACTGGTTTTCCATGGGGATCGTGTATAATTATGCTAGCTCCTGGCTTTCACATTGGAAGCTTGGAATTGCACTTGAGTAGAACAAATTTTTCTTTTTAGATGATTTCACTTCTAAGTAAGGAATTCTGTTCTGGGAAGTTTGTCTTAAAGGTTAATATGATATTTTTCAAAGGCAGGTGTATCTCTAACACCTTGTCCATAGATTGTCGTGCTTTTGACTTTTGTGTAACCGGGTGAAAAGAGGAGTCTGCGTGGCCTGCAAATAAGAATTCAAATGTTTAAAATACAAATTATATTGGTGTTAATAATGGAGCCAGGGAGACTCATGGTTCATATTCATTGGTGATTCTTGGGCTGGGTGATTGAGTAAGGGTTATACTGATGTGTGAGGATGAGATTTTTAATTGTCAATTGTGAATGGGTTAAGAAAAATGGAGAAATACTGGTCTAAAAGGAGAGTCAATGGATCATAATTAAACTCACACCTATTACTTTGATACAAAAGTCCAGGCGTAGAATCAGTGGCTTTAAATTTCTCTGAACATCTTTCCAGCCCCCATAGCTGGTTTTAGGAGCTTCCATTGCCTGCCTTCCCCTTCTCTCGATATGTATTCTTTGAAGCAGACATCTTGAATCTTCTTTACTTTGGGGAACTTAACTGTGTCATGCCCAGCATTGCAGATGCTGCCAGTTGTGGCTCTGCCCTGTGAGGAGCTAGGAAGTCACAGTGAATCTGTATCTCCGACTGAGTTGTGTTTATACAAAGGCTTCCCAGGGGCAGGACAATTTCCCAACATTTGGTTCACTGACTGTTCTGAGGGAGGTGGATGTTGAAGTTGTTGTCAGCTGCACGTCTTCCCAGGCTGCATCTTACAGCCCCATGGCATATTCCTTGAGTCAAAGTTCAAACTCTTTCAAATCTGCAAGCTTTGCCCAAGGGCTCAGAGTTGGCTGCACGGTCCTTTCCAGTTCTCACTAAATTAGCTCTCCCAGGATTGGAGAGGCAAGACTATCAGGCAAATGCTATATTGGAGTGTGACTAGACTCTTAAGCCTGCTGTCGTGACCCATCTCCTCTTGCTCTGCATTGACCCACCTTCCATCTTATCACAGAGGATGCTGGAAAATGTGCACCAAGGCTACACTCCTTTTTTTGTTCTAAAGGAAAAATTCCATGTATGAGTCTTAGAGTTAGACCATTATGGCATCCTGCTGCCGTCAGTAAATAAAGAATATTTACTCCCCTGAATGTATAATGATTGCTATTCCAGCAAACAATAAGGATTCATTACCAGAGCTCCAAAATAGGTGTGGCAAGGTAGCATCTTGTAGAAAAAAAGTGTGTCAAGGGAGGCATCTTGTAGAAAAAAAGTGGTTGAAGCAAGACACAATTCCAACAGGGACTATTTTAGATCTTTCCACGAGAGATTGTCACAATTTCCCTTTATTTTTCTTTCTATCTTGACAAAGGATTTACGATTTTACATTATCTTAGAAGGAATGGAAAAGTGACTTCTATTTCCAAATTTGAGTAGCTAATTTTGTGTACAATCGTGCTTTCATGTTTCATCCTTACTCATCATTCGGTGAATTATAGTTATCGCCTGGAATTTTAGTTAAGTTGTATTGCTATATTGTAATATTTGGTGTGATATTATAATGTTGGGGAAAATGTTGTGACTTGTGGGGACATAACCAATCCTACGTCCTCTTCATACAATGTGTCTGTTGCATTGTCTGATTTCAGCAAGCAAATGCAGTTCAACTCATTTATGAAATCACTCCACTTATTCTTGCCTCCTGTAAAACTTCAGAATTTCTTCAGTCTTCCCAGAAACCCAGACTCTGATGCAAATATTTTTTTCATTTTAAGCTATCTTTACATTTGGTGTTTTTTAAAAAATATACAATGATATATTTATTTGACTCATATTTTGAAACTTCTCTTGGCTCCTCATCTGACTTCAGACTTCCTCTTTCCATAGTGTAGACTTAGCTCACAGGGGGACAGCCATCTGCATATGGATTTCTTGGTGCTTTGTCAAATTACCCTTCCTATTCTTCCTTGTGTAGGTCATTTGATAACATGTTCTCGTAGCAAATCACCTTGACTTCCAAAATGGTAAGATCATACCCTGAGAGCTTACAATATCTCTTTGCTGCTATGAAAACTGATTCCATTACAAAGATAATTCTTTTTGAACAATAAAAGTGAAATCTTTTCTCATAAAGGACTCCTGAGAGTATATTAGAGTGAATTTTTATCTCCGCCTTTCTTAACAATTGTGTCAGATCACCTTTTAAAGGTTATAAAAGCCCATAAAAATATCCAATCTCTGCATACTTATCTACCAGTGTCCTTTCATTTTATTATGCCCCTTGAAGAGAAGGGCAGTGTGATCGTGGCATGAATCTCAGTGGTGGATTTGGTGGGGGCACAAGACAATTATTTTTTGTATTTATCCAACACTAGGCTATTCATTATTCATTTTCCATATCTCAGCATAACTTTTCCATTACTTCTCTATGGAACTTGTCATGTGCACCAACTTAGGTGGATGTAAGAACTGGAGGTGGCTGTTGATTGGTGAGTCTGGCAGAAGTTATTGGTTTCTCCAATCAAAGTGTTGATTGGAGACTTCTTACTCCTGTAGGAAAACGCCTTTAAACTTTTTTACAGTTTAAATGTTCTGATGGAAAAGGATCTTAACATGCCCTCTAGTGCCCATCCATTTACTGAAATAATCACTCTAAATACATATGCTTATTTATGTTAATCAAAATTGATAAAGAAGGATCATTTTCAGTAACTGTGGTAACAGGCATTTGCTGTGCTGTGTTTAATGGCCTGTTATTTACTATTGCCAATTTTAAAACTAAGCATTTAAGAGATCCCAGAAGCCTGATTCTGCCTATAATTGGAATCAAGGTGATGTCTATGCATATGGGTCACAGTGGGATGAAAAGTCCACACAATTAGAAGAGTCTAATTGGTGCCCCGGAGAATACTGCCCTGTGCTTCCTTAAAGAATTAGTTTATTATACGAAGTAAAGTGACTGTGAAGGATTTTGTTGGAGGGAAAAGGGGAAAGGATTGAACAGGAATGTTCAAGGCAGCTAAGTGTCTATGATTGTGGTGGCTGTTTGCCAGGGAGCTGGGTGTGCTCCTCCCAGCCTGGCAGTGACACACTAGCTTTATAATGACCTAACTGTGCAAATAAATGCATTTCGATCTGAATATTGGGATGACCCCTCAGTTTTTTTGGTGTAATGCATGTCAACAGAGCTGGGAGGTCCCCGGGCAGTGTGTCCTGTGAGCTCTTCCTCACTCTTCCAACTGGCAAGGCTGGGAGCTCCTAGGATCTCTTCTCTCTCTGCTAAGTAGCAGAAAGTACCATTTTAGGATCTCTTAATAGATATCATGAGAAAGTGAGTAACTTGTAAGTAAGTAAACTGAGTAGCCAAAATGCTAGTCGTTGTCTCACTTCAAAGGAAATGACAGATGATGGTAAAAAGAAGCTTAATAAGAGTCCATTCCTAGACCTTTCAGTTCTGTAAAGACCTGTGACGTCAAATGTGGGGCTTTTTTCCAGCACAGATTTAATGAAGCTAACTGCCTGTGGGATGATGATGAAAATCTTAACTGTCCATTATTCTGTAATGTTGTCTATTCACGTGTTGAATCTTTTTCCTCTAACCCTCCAAACAAACAATCAAAGGCTGAATCTGAGCAGGCTCCACCCACAGAGCCGAAAGCAGAGGAGCCCCCTGCCGCTGCAACACCTGCTGTTGGGCTGGAAGCTGGACTGGACACCCAGGCTGAGGAGCCAGCGGAGGGGGCTGTGGTGAGCGCCACCTCCCTCCCACCCTCCACCTGCCTCCCTTGCTGCAGCCATGCTCATCTCATGACCCCATTTCTCGCTTCTCATCCATGCTTCACCTGGACGAAATCACCTCCATGTCCATCATGGCTCCCCAGGTTCAAATAACCTTTGTTCCTTTGACAGAGAAACTCCCTTCACTTTTATTTTTTAAAAAGGAAGATATCCAGAGACCGGCTCTTGTGATCTAGAGAAAATTATCATGCAGTCACAGGCTTGGTTCTCAGAAAAGGATGCCTTGATTCTTTCTGATATCTCCCTTTCATGGTAGATGGGTTATAGAAATCACAAATAATCAGAACTATTAACGTTGTACTCTACCTGTGACAGCTGGAGATATGCCTGCATTAGAGACCAACCTTCAGGTGACAAACAGCAGGATACTAACTTCATTGGTTATGTCTACATATTGATTTCTTACAATATTAGTTTTGTAAGTTGATTAAGGCCCAATAAAGGATTGAAATCCCATATCACAAATCCATGAATCTATAAGGATTCCTATGTGTACAACCATTTGCTCAAAATTGAGTCTGGTGCTGGCTCGTATAATAGGAGACCTTGAGGATGTATTTTGTACAAGGATGGAGACCCATCTCCCTGCCTGGAAACCTCCTCTTACCCTGCTCCATGCAGCCATATACCACACCCCGTCACAAGCTGGGATGAGCTCTGTGTGCACCATGTTGAATTGGATAGTGCAACACTCATGACAGCGTAGAATAATAATACAAGGAAAATTTAATTCACAACACCCGTGGAGAGTAAAAAAGGTTATGAAGTGCAGTTAAAGTATTTCCCAAAAATTTCAGTCAGGGTACCATTTACCACAACCTTTAGAATCTATACAAAGAGGAAAAGCAATCTCCCTATTCCCCAAAATAACATTGTCTAGATTAGATAACAAGAAATAAAAGTTATATCTCTTGCTCTTGGTTCCCTATGTTATTTACCAGGAAAAGGATAGGTCATCTATCAAATCTATAGTTTATTAATAGAGTAGAAAAATAAATAACAGGGCAAGATGGTGATGGGAAATACGAATTGAGAATAACTCAAGAAAAATGATCGTATTTTCCATTCACAGATATAGAGTTGGACCAAGTCCTGTAGGGAAAACAAGAAATGTGTCCCACTAGATTGATTGAGTCCTTCCCAGAAGTGCTGCTTGCACAGACTTTAGCCTGGGGAGTGCTGAGGCTCTGTGGTCCGGTGTCCGGGGGTTTTCTTCCTGACTGTCACCCCTAGATTCACTGGTGATCTCAGTAACTCAGTGCAGATAGAGCATTTTCATTTGGTGTCAGATTGTGATCTGTCAACCCAACTTGGCTTTAAGATTATTGAAGTAACAGAATAAGGGAAAGGTACAATTGAATTTTTGACTACTGTTATAATTTAGAAGATAATTGATTTTAAAAAAGAATATAGATGATGCCAGGGAAGTAAAAAGATATTTGATTAGGTTCAGATATTGATTTAGAAATTGCTTCAATTCTGGAAAGTTCTCATCAAATTTCTGTTTTGAATAGCAGCACAGACTTCATCTTTACCAGTGCTTTCAAACTACATTGATTCCATGCCCCAGACTACTCAGTATAAGGGTTAATGCCATCATGCCCTTGGTTTTGAGCATAGGCATTTGATGTCATACAATAGATTGGAGATGTGAAATAGACAAGCTGGCATGTTAAATACAGGTTCCGTGGTTCTCCATGACCCCTTCTTGGAGGGTCATGACCACACAGCTCTCACACCCATCCTTTTTTTTTTTAACAAACTTATATAAGTAGGTTTTTGGTATTTTAGAATCTAAGTTCATTGCTTTTCCAGTAAAAATATTTGCAGCTACCAATTATCAAGTACCAACTTGGTCATACTTACTATGTGTAAAGATTTATAAGAGATTTGTCATCTTTTTAGCAAGTGATATTAAAAAGATTTAACAAAACGATATAGTATAAGCATCAACCATCACTAAAACCAGCTTCCCTTATGTCGGGTAAGGAGATGTTTGGGAGAGTTCTTCCTTCTGAAAATCCTTGTCTCCTAAAGCTTATAAACTTTAGAGGTTAAAAAATTTAGATTCCTTGTGAAATACAAGGCAGTTTGGAGAGTCTTATGAAGGATTCGGGCACCTACCTGCTGAGACGCAGAGGTGATGTAAGAACAGTTGGTACAGAGCTCACCGTGTGAGCCACCGTCTCCAAGAAGAAGAAGTTCAAGTGGTTCATTTCTCCATCCTTGTATGGACTGAAAAATAATAGTAATAGCGTTAACCGCGACAGGGCAGCTTACAGCAGTTCAATTTGCCTAATGCTCATCAAAAGTGGCTACCTTCCATATTTTTAAAATTAACACACTTGGATAAAGTCATTTCTTCCCCACATTCTCCCTTCTATTAGGAAAATAAGATCACATAGAATATATTTTTGTTCTCTAACTTAGATGTATAGGTCCTTTCTTCTAGTCGTAATAATCTAACATAATATTAGTGTTATTTTTTCTAAAGAAAGGTCTCTTCTGTTGCTAGATGTGTGGCATTTAGTTGTAAAGACATAAAAATCCACATTGTATCCTGAGCATTAATTAACAGCGTGGTTATGGCTGTCATCAGTCAGGATTGGGTTGACATGACTTTTTGAGGTCATCCTTTTCACTGCTGAAATGTCACCACATGGTTATTATTTCGAGTCTTGACAGAATGCATTTCATATGAGGCGAAGTTTTTGGTGGTTTGTTAAAAAAAAACAAAACAAAGAGACAAATGTAATTTCAAAAACAGGAAATTTTAGCAGTGTTTCACAAAGAAACCTGGGGCTTTCAAGAAAAGTTTAATTATTACATTTTTGTTTGTTGTTTTATTCCCCACGTAGCTAATATTGTCTTTGGTTTTTCCCTACTACACCCAATTTTACCAATATATCTGCAGGATGCATTTTAAAATCCAACACTTGCTACCTCTTCTCCAGATGTTTCCCTGTTACAGAAGTAATAAAAATTTTCTTTAGGAAAAAAAATGATCAATATTTGTTTCAGATATGTATCAGAGAATTAGGTTAAAAAGCCCATAAAGATGATTTTTACTCACATTTTCCCATTTTCTTGCAAAGAGTCCCCTTCTAATTTTCTCTAAATTTCTGTCGGCTCCTGTATTTTGTTCAAATAATGTGAACTGGGCCAATACCCTTTTTTTTGCATTTTATTTTTAAAGAAATAATGTTCTGTAATTAAATTTATTAGCACTGTTTCCAAAACATGTAAGTGGGGAAATGACCAAGGTGCAGTTGTTTTTAGAATTGGTAGAGAATTCTAGAAGATGAAACACTGACACATTATTTTGGAGACTCTTACTTTTGATTTTGCAATGTTTTGTTTTTTAAAAATTTCACCAAACTCAAGTTGACTTGTTGGGACCAATTTAAACGGGCAAATAGATGTGTATATATGGCAGACTGCAGTCTCTCCACTTCATCTTGCTATGAATATTTCTGTCTGCTTGAATAGAATACTTGTGCTAGTTTCCTCCTTCGTTCAGTTGTCAAATATAGTTGAGTCCTTGCTAGATGTCAGACTCTGCTCTGGATCTGGCGAGTGTGATGATGCAGTAAGTAGACATGGCTCCTGCCATCGTAGTTCACACAGACTAGCGGAGGAGGTCGACATTACACAGTGGTCGCGGCCTCCTTCTGTGACAGTCATGTGCTTGGGGAACAGCATTTGAGTTTTCTCCTTGTACGGAGTAAGCATGAGAGCCTGTGCTTGCACTGTGCCTCCAGATGTGAGCTCCCAGCATCTGGTATGTAAGAGGAAGATGCTGAAGATCTGAGGAAGCCAGAGGCACTTGATTGCTTATTATAGAGTGTTCTCCAAACTCGAAGGGCTCACTCTGAAGCATGTTTGCTTTAAATTAAACTAAATATATACATGCCTTGGAGATGGATGTACCTTTTTACCTTTCTCAGAAAAAAACAAAATCATAGGAATGGTGGTTTTCTCTGAGTTTGGCTGTGTTCCCATTAGCAACTAATTACATTTTCAGTGCCCCTCAGGCCAGACTAATGGCACTGTTTCCTTTTTGTTCCCAGCACAGAGCAGGCTGTATTTATACTACATTCCCAGTAAATTCTCGGTCATTCACTTGTTGATTGATTGACAATATAATCTAGGGGTCCTGAAAGAGACCACAGCTGGATCTCTTAAAACATAGATGTTTAGACTGTCATTTTCTTCCTCTTTGTTTCCATTCAGATAATTGGTTTTTATATTTAGGGAAAACAAGCTGTTTATTGCCATCAAAAGCTGTACCGTCTCTTAGTATGATTCACAGTAGCTCTGTGACAGCTGAGCCCCAGTTGCCTCAAATGTAAATGAGTTAATAATGACTTCCTTCAAAGTTTCCTGTGAGGGCTTGGAAATAATACGTGCCACTAGTTGAGCATCCAGCACATAGAGTTCCTCAATCGATGACAGTTTGCTGATATCAGTATTGTCATTATGATCATGAAAAGTGGTTTCCCCCAGATAAGCAGAAGTTGGTGAAGGAGAGGCACCTCTGAGAAGGAGAAGGCAACAGATGCGGAAGATAACACCCTCCTTTTTCATTTTGCTGCATGTTAGAAACGTTAAGAGACTCAGTCTCCCCCATCAGCACAGATTTCCTCTTGGTTCCTAAAGAAGCTGTGTCCCATCAAAATTCTCTGTCCTTCCTAAGAAGGCTTTCTTCTAGGGCCCTTCATGCCGGATCCATTGACAGGGAATGTTCCTACCTTCATTGCCAGGGAGATGCGGGCATTTGGAGAACAGGCTGCATCCTCCTTCAGGTGGTCGTAGAAAGAGAAAAAAGGCAAATGAGACGTATACAAAATTGACACAAGTGGCTGGGCCTGGATCTTTCTTTCTCCCTACCATTGTGCCGAGTCACAGGAAAGAGATGAAGTTAGCTAAGACTGAAATGAAAGTAACAA